GCTATTAAGATATTTTATAAATGGTATAACAGCAGTTAAGAAATTTCAAAGTTTGCAAAGCCCCGATCATATCTAACATGGAAACTTCATCATTTACAAAGGCCATGTTACACCAAAAAGCTATCACAGAAATACATTTGTGTTTGAGGCTACGTATGTTGCTATGTTTGCCTTCAAAAATTCTATTGTTTCTTTCATTCTAAATTGTCCACTAAATGAATAGTGTTCCATAGCTTGTGTGTCTTCCTATTCAGACCATCTCTTCTCCAGCTATGTAGGAAATCCAGAATGAATGGAATTTTTCAAGGCAAACATAGCAACATCATAGCCTTAAACACATATGTATTTATTTGCTAGCCAAAATATTTGCACCAAACTACCAAAGCTCTCCAAGTTCCTGAATGATATCAACCTTACATGCCCTAACAGTTCAGCTCCCTGGCTAAAACCAGTTAACCTCACAGACCCTCTTGGGAAAAAACTCTCGAAATTAATCCTTGCAATCTCTTTCAAAGTTCTTTAGTAAGTGCAGCTGAAAGAACCTTATGCTGATATCGAGTTTATTAGCAATGTGCAGCAGAAAGACTCTTGCGTGATGTCAAAAACTCGTACTACCTTCGAATTTAACTAAAATGCTAAATTTAATTTATATGTGAAATTCTCTCTTGACTAATTCTTTTCCCCACAGAGTTCTCTGCATCACCAAGTTCCTAAAGTTCGATTTTATCTTGAAATATATTCATAGGCCGATTGTGCCATCACTAAGGCTGTGTTTACTTACTAAAATTCATTGAAAAGCAAGCAGCAGAAACAACAGAGAATTCAAGGAACCAGTGAATATCTTCCATTTGACTATCACGGTGAATTATTAATAAAATCCAAATGTAAAGCAGAACAATTGAGGCGTAAGCACGAGAATGTCATGTGCTTGAAAAAACTAATAAATAATGATCCTTGACGCCTAAATGATCCGTGATCACAAAACCAAGGAAGTCTATTAAATAGCATCCTCCATTCCTCCTTCACATTTTCACCCATAAATTGGTATGTCGGCCTTTCCTTAAAAGTTATACATAATCCATTATAAAAGCCAGGTGTAGGAGTCTGAGCTCAAAAATCGAAAGTCAGGAAGAGCACGTACTTGTTTAGCCTGATCATAATCTTCACTATTGTTATCTTCATCCACACGAGAGTCGCTGAAAAGGTCCAGTAAAATTTTGTTATCTACCATCTTTCAAAAATAAAATGTGGCACACAAATAAATAGCAACCACATGAAACGGATATAAGCTCATTTACATCCTCATTTTAACAGTAAAGGATGGGAATCTTTGACAAACCTTGGTACCTTCTGTGAGGAGGTGTAAACACCACCTTTCAAAAGGCTGATGTGGACGCTCACATCGACTAGTACTGCATGAAAAGCATCAAAATGTACAGGACAATAAGAGTGCAACCCTAGAAGAGCTTTGGATGGAAGACGAAATTCATGGACTGCAGCAGGACAAGCATCCAAGGAAGCCTGCAGACTAATCCTGCAGAGAAAATTATACAAGTACTTCACAGGAACTCAAAGTATTCACATTTTATTTTAATCAGAGAATACAAGAATTAATAATTGTTTGTCAATAATTTTCTTGATGCATCTGCAGAAAAACACAGTTCAAAAAGAACTAACCCGTTCTCCAATATAGGAGCATAGAAAAGCTCAAATTTCAGAATAACAGCAGATGTCGGTGGACCCTGCTAGTTTCAAAGCACATATTAGTTGATAAGATTAATAAGAATAGGAAAGATATAATGGATCTCTGGAGAACCTATATGCCCAAAATGTTTAAACAATGTGTACACATACTTCAACTGAACCAACTCACCTTGTTGCTTCACTACTGGGCACAACAACAAAGCCCACATCAATATACCTTTGATGCGTGCACGTGGGGGAGAAGGGGGAGGGGAGAAATTACGTAAGGGGGCTAAGGCCAAGAGAAATCACCTCATATTTGCTCAGAGATAAGTTGAATGAGACCATCATGGAGAGAAGAATATCCTGCCTTGCATACTTGATACGGAAAGGCTGTGTGGAGAAACTATGATCTGTATCATCAATTCTCCATACTCCATATACATCTTCGGAACCCAAATCAGGAGCTGCAACCCAAAGAAAGGTATTACTCACCAAACCCAATGGTATGCTTTCTATGTGTGTGCCCATGCAGAGGCATTTGCGAACATATACTTTTCTTGCTTTCCTTTTTTTAACCCAAGAATTAACTATAAATCAGGACAAACTATCCTCAATTACATTAGAAGGCCCTACCCAGTCAAAACAGAAACCTAGTTTATTACCCATCAAAAAGAAAGGAGAAAAGAAAGACAGAAAGGATAACATAACCTAGTTTATTCTAACTCATATTCCTCCCTTTTCAAATTAAGATCTCTTTTCAGAGAGCTCATCCGACTGTTTCCTTTCTGCTTAAGATATTAGCAAACCTAGTTCCCAAAGAAGTTGAAGACAAAATTAGGTCCATTAAGTATTTACTTTACGTGATTCTGGCAAAAACAGCAAGAGGAAATGAATTAAAAAAGACAAGTGCAAAAACAGTGTGAATTTTTTCAAACTATCAATCAACCATGAGCATATACATGAGATACCGCCAAAGGTCACATTCTGGCCACTAACCCTGGTCAAAACTGAAGAGAATTTGTACTAGTCCAGACAACAGGAACTGATTTAGCAGTGCAGTGATTGGCTTAAGGTTGCGCAGATTATAGGATACTTAATTGCAGTGTGAAAATAATAGTAGCCATCAAATTTTCAGAATAAATATCAATGTCAATAGAACCAAGAAACATATATAAGAGTCCAAGAAAGAGAAAAAGATCTAGGAGAGTTATCTAACAGCATTCACTAATTGTTGTCTCTAGAACCTTGTAAAGGACCAAAGGTTAGACTAACCACAAGTGTAGCATACTTTCTAAAGATAGAGCAAGTAATCCTTGCATGCCTTTGGCACCCGAGGCGCACATGCTTAAAAAGAATAAATCAATTTTTATGAAGTTAAAAAGGATAGATAAACCACAACCAAGACGGATATCAATGTCATGAACTACTGAAAGGGGAACAGGGTTCCAAAAAGGAGAAAGGACATGTGTATAATATCTTGGTGAACTGCAAAATTCACCTAATTTTGGTGTAACTGCAATAGCACATTCAATTTATGATCAATTGGTCAATGAAGTGAGTGCAAGCCTTGGAGACCAGGGTTCAAATCCCAGCAAAGACAAAAAACACTAGGTGATTCTTCCTATCTGCCTAAGCCATGTGGGCAGAGTTACGCGGTACCTTTGCGAGTGGGAAGTAGCAGGTACCCGATGAAATAGTCAAGGTTCGTGCAAGCTGGCCCACAACTACCGTTACCGGAAAAAATATAGCATATTCAATTATGAAAAACCAGTGCACTAGAGAACCTATGATATCTACCTTCCTATTAATTAGTTCTTCATTTCATATTATATCCTCTGAAATAATGTGTAATGACCAAAACTGCTTTCTACTTGTAAAATTACAAATTCTCAGCAAGGAAGCAAGAAAATTACAATCAAATGCACATAATATCAGAAAGTTATCTTTGCCAATAAAACTACCACATCAGTCTCAGATTCATAGAAATTAAGCATTTCAGCATATTGATTTCTCCAGTTTTTCCTCAAAGGCTGAAATTTTTCTCAATTCTATATCCCACTGTAACTGACTGCAATAGGTGCAAGTCTCCTGCTTAAAGTAGCCTGCTGTATACTTTGGCCATTTTGTCATATGCTAGAATTTACCTTCATACTGGATGACTCTAGATGGAGTTCCTAATAACCCATAATCACCATCTTCCCATCTCATTGTAATTTTAATCTGGTACCATCTACATATTTGGCAAAAATTGTCAGGCATCAGAAGAACAATAGTCAAATTACACAAGGAGTAAGATAAAGAACTATTGAACATGATATCCACATACCCTTGCTGGAACAAATCAAGATTGTGAAACCGGTGAATGTAGATGGAAATCTCATGCACAGCCTCCAACATTGGTTGTTTAGGCTTTCTGTGCTCAGACTTTGACTCGTAATAGGACTTGAGCAGTTGCAATTGTTGCTGCTGTGACAGTGGTAAAAGAGGCACAGGCTGCACATCAGCACTGTGCAACCTCTTAGGGGTTCCTGGTGTTCCTTTATTTAGACCAGCTATCATCCATCGAATGCGCCGTAATATAACAGACATCTATTGATGTCTCTAAAAATTTGCATCCCTCCGATTCCCTCCACCCAAGTATTAGCCCAATATATTTCCTCTCAGAAACAAGATTATAATGAATCGCGATCTCAAAAACGACTATTCTGCTCCAGCTTGTCTAAGAATAAAGACCTTAGTACGGAATCCCTGTGTATTAGAAAGATTATTTGTTTAAGAACTCCTTCATCAAACAACAAACCTACTGGCGAAAATGTTATGATAAGCAAACAGCAGGCAGAAAGATTAGCAGCAAGTTCATAATATCCGACATCAGATAATAAAGAGTTCAAGATGTTAAAAGCTTAACAAAACTATTTCCTAATAGTCTAGGTCCTTCAGGACGTTATTATAGGTTAGAGATCCCCAGGGATCAAGCAAAGACATTCATTATTGGGCATGAATATCCATATTTACAACCCCAACATAATAAAACTCAATTCAAGTGTACTACCACCATACATCAAATGTTTACTGGTATATGTTATGTTGAAGAAATTCAAAAGGGCAAATGTATCATGCACTCAGAAAATGTACTTCTATAACAAACTAATGCAGCACAAAAAATTTCCCAAAACCCCACTAAAACCCCTTTGAACCTCATCTTGTTCTGATGCAATGTGTCTCTATTGGTACAAGAAACAAGAATGACATACGAAAGTAAGATAGCAATTAGCAAGTAACTAAAAATCATTTGATCAATCACCCAAAAAAAGATTCAACAACATTAGCAAAAACCAGAATGTCCCTCGATTCAACTCGTAGGGACCCAAAATTTTGCAGGTTCCATTAGCAAAATCGAAAATGTCTCGAGTTAATCATATCAAAAATTACCGCACAAAATCTTTTGATGCAGAGGTCCGAAGTAACTTAACAATGCGTATGAAAAAACACAAGAAAAACCAACCTGAAGGAACTGATCGAATTAAGGTTTTGATAGGCGTGGAAAAAACACCTAAAATGCAGTTTCCTATTTCCTCTTTCTTCAGCAAGCAAAGGGGAATTAGCAAGTCAACGGTGTTTGAGCTGTAAAAAATTATACTTTGTCACAGATTAGCGACGATAACGCGTTGGAACGCAGCGGCGACGGTGGTTATTTACGGCGGAGATAGCTGTCGGAGTCAGAGGGCGTGGAACAAAGGAACAGATGTGAACGAGGAAATCAATACCTGAGAAACGTATTAGGGGGACAGAGACCTCGTTTTTCCTAGACTCCAACCTGAAAAACAGCTAATTTCCAATGACACCTGTAAGCTTTGTGGAAATGACACTTATACCCCTGTTAAATGGCCACTATCAATAGGCTCTTTTGTTCCAAATAAGTAATTTCAATGATTTTCAATAATGCGTTTTGATCAAAAGTTAAATCTCATAGCGGCGCAAATCTGAACCCTCATTTGCAGTGTTCACACCCCCACAATCAACGATGTCAATTGTCAAATCAAATAAAACAGGATGAAGCATTTAAGATTTACCATCAAACCACTTCATTAAAGACAGTAACTCTTTGTTTCTTGTCCTTTGTTATGGAGAATAATTTCCTTAATGCTTATTCAAGACTAGACATTCGTATTTATTGTAATGATTCTTTTGTTTGTCATGACTCTAATGAATAGTTTTATGTACTCTCCCACTAGGATCTTATTTACATTGCTAGTATAAGTGAAGAATGTAGCAACAGGTTGATAATTAACTAAATAAAAATGAAATCATGCATGAAATTATAGACTTTATGCGTTCATCAATTTATCATAGAAATTTGCTCAACTTGAATCTCACCGTGAGAATTTTCAAATGGATTAATAAAAAATTATTCAAACGAATAAGCAAAATGAACATGAATAAAATCACGTTAATGTGTTTTCTGCAACCTTCTTTTTGTATGGGTCAAAATCTAACAATGGGTTAATCGTCCCTAAGTGGAACGACATGAGGTCGATCAAGTCGCAGTGTGCCCTCACGGCAAGGTGACAAAGAGCACCTCGGCCATCGTCAGGATCGAGTCATAGGGAAACTTACGTCACAGAACAAACGTAGTGGTCGAGCAAACGATAGAGGGCCCAGTGACGAGAAGGACGTTGGTCAAAGACCGTTGGACAAATAGGGAAGTTGTTAATATAAATAGGACTAGCTAAACCCAAAAGAGGGGCATCTTTTGGAGGGGGTAAAAAAGCTTCCATAGAGGAGGCAAGAAGGAGAATCTCTTGATCATCAATATTCTCTTTTCTTTCCTTTCATCGTTCCCTTGATGCAAGACAGTCCTAGATGTAAGCTAACCATACTTGATTGATGAATAGTTGTTATATGAAGAAATATTACTCGTTATTATTCCTTCTTTTATTTTTACATTCTATACGTTTAGATCTGAATTTAATTATCTTTGACTAGATTTACCTTCTATAATATTAGTAATTAGTTCGACAAAAAGGATTTTATACTTTTTGCTCAAACAATTTGGCGCCGTGTGTGGGAATTTCTTAGCCAAATTTCTTAGTTTCCTTCAGATCTAGAACCGGCGAAACGCCACCACCCACTCGAAAAAGTAGTAAATAAACCTTCAAGACAACGATACTAATCTAGGTCAGGCTGCTACATTAAAGTAGAAGTTATAACCAACATCTATGCAAAACCCACGTCTCGCCAGTAGCGATAGGGTTGGCGCGACATACATATGTTCAAAATAGGATCATGGTCACCTGGCGTGACCACACCCCCATTCGACGCATTTTACTCATATAACCCATATTCCCACCCTTTATGAGAGGACGGCAGCTTGCTGCGCAGTCTTTGGAAGGAATGGGCACATCCTGCCATATTTTCATATTCCCCCACGCATCGGATGATCCATAAACGAAGTATGACATGTTTCCCTTGTTGTGGGTACAAATCGAACGAGATCGGATCGGGACTCGATTGCAACACTTCAGCAAGTGAGGTGGGCCCAACCTGCGCGAAGCTTAGACACTATTATAGGCGGAGCTGAACACGGCCGTCAAATCTAAAACCAGGCAGAGCGAGTAACACTACTACGCCGCTCTTTTCGCTGACCCGTTGGATCGAGGTACGGAAAATTTCATTTTGGTTTGTCCTCTGTTGATTGTTTAGACAGGAACGCAGGTACTTGCATGGGCAAGCGAGCAAAGGAATATTTCAACTAGCAACGACGGAAGGAAAATTACTATAAAAAAATTGGAATGTCAGGCACCATTTCAATACTGCAACCCCTGAGAAAGGACACTCATCAAGTCGCACCCTTTCTCCTTCGCCCGGGTCTCGTCCCAGCCGGGTCCTCTCGGGAAGACTTCTAACAAAGCGACGAAAGGAATGTCTTGAAGTTTAAAGTATAATTCATCGCCTCGCCTGCTGAATGTCTCTCCAGGCCGAACAAAGAAGGGACTAGATACATGAAAACTTCTACAATATATGTATGAAACGAACATGTATAGCATTCTCCAATGACTGAAACAGAGCAACATTTTGTACTCCCCATCAAGGTAATCTATAACGCAAGCAAAATGAAGCAAACTAGGACTCACCCAGGAAATGCATCGCATTCTCCAACGCAAGCAAAATAAAGCAAACTGGGACTCACCCAGGGAATGCATCGTATTCTCCAATGCAAGCAAAGTTAAGCAAACTGAGACTTACCCAGGAAACGCAGAGGCTAAGAAAAAATGGGGCTCCCCCAGGGAACACCCAATATTCTCCAGTAAAAACAAAACCGAGTGGGCCAGGACTCACTCCAACGTACACATAAATAGTACGGCGATCTATGAAATCCCCCAAAATCTGATAGTGACATAACGGGTTAACATTTCAACCTTAGCTCGAAATAACACCCCTACGACCATCGCCAAAAGAAGAATTCGACCTCGCTCGAATTACCACGGGTTAACATTTCGACCTTAGCTCGAAATAACACCCCTACAGCCAAGGGCCATCGCCAAAAGAAGAATTCGACCTCGTTCGAATTACCACGGGTTAAAATTTCGACCTTAGCTCGAAATAACACCCCTACGGCCAAGGGCCATCGCCAAAAGAAGATTTCGACCTCGCTCAAATTACCACGGGTTAACATTTCGACCTTAGCTCGAAATAACACCCCTACGGCCAAGGGCCATCGCCAAAAGAAGAATTCGACCTCGCTCGAATATATATATATATATATATATATATATATATGAAAATGCCGACTTCGCCTAAATCGGGCAAGTGAATTCAACCCCCCTCGAATGATTCAAGTCGAAACCGACTTCGTCCGAAACGACAAACCCGAGTTCAACCTCGTTTGAATCAAAGATGATTCCGCCTAAAGCGGCAAATCAAAAGTCGACCTCGCTCAAATGTACAAACCCGAAGAAACGCCATTCGGACTCACACGACAAGACCCTCCTCAGTCCGGTCAAAGTCGGATTCCCAAAACGAGAAAATCAGGTATTCGCCATACAAAAATTCGAAGGACTATGCCAAAACAAAAAATGTAAAGCAAGGGGAAGGGAGAGCAATTCAAAGGTCGTACAACGACGAAACAACCCCCTTATTTATACGTGCATAACGGCTGCACCTTACACACGGCCAACACAGGTCCAATATAATAATAATATATATGTATGTATGTATGTATGTATATATATATATATATATATATATACACTAAGGCAACAACTTTTCACTCGGCGTCATCGCCGCCGACCTCCCCATCATTATCTCCAAGAAATTCCTCCTCGGCATCAGCATCATCGCCGGCCTCCGGCGTCGCAGGGTCGTAACCGTAGTTGACGCGAGCCTCTCGTGCCTTCATCCGAGCTTCTTCATAAGCGGCCTCAGAAACATTTCCCGCCTCCCACAAACTCTTGTATATGTCCCGTTGGGCCTCGGCATGAACCCAAAGCTCGTGCAAATGGCGAGGAACAACGGCACAGGCAGATCAACTTGGGCCAACAGTTGTGCCTTTTCAGCCTCAAGTACAGCGACCCGATCCCCCTAGCTTAAAGCTTCCGGGTCGATCTCGCCAATGCGCTCTTCAAGCCTCGCCTCCCTTAGCGTGGTCGTTTCCCTCTCGGACTCCTGCTCGGATTGAAGGACACGGATAGTGTCCTCCAACGCCGCCGCCCTTGCTGAGGCCGACGCCCGAGCACTCTCGGCGATCTCCAACTCGGACACTTTCCTCTCCAGCTCGGCTAACTTCCCCATCCATTCTGCATTCAAAGCTTAAACTCTAACGGCATTTTGATCGAGCTCGAATTGCAACGATAGCACCTTCGCCTGAAGATTCTCACACTCTGCAGCGACTCCCTTTCCCAACTCAAGTTCTTCGTCCTTTGCACGAAGTAGCTCCTCGAGCTCACTATTCCTGCGAATGGACTGCATTAGCTCCTGATCCCTCATCTCCGGCTCCTCCCCGAGAGATTGATTACCAGTGCTCGCCCTGAGCTGTTCATGAATCTCACGAAATTTGTTGCGGCAGCGCCGATACTTTTCCAGCATCTTCAAAAAAATCTTGGCCCGAGTGTCGGCCCTGCGAGCACTTTCGATCTCCAACACGCAAGACTGAAGCAAAAAAGGGGAGTCGGTGAAGGTCAAGGCCGCCAAAAATGAAAGGAACAAAAAAAACAACAAAGAGGAAAAACTTACCCTCAGGCCCATAGCGGCCACTTCATGCATTAATTCGACGTCGCTGACGTCCCGAAGAGCCTCACACTTTGCGGCGGAGCATAGAAGGTCAAACTGCGGCACCAAACCCTCTGTATCCCGTAGAAGATTGAGCTCCGATGAAATCTCAAGTATACGGGAGGGACCTCCCACTCTTACCACAGTGCGGGTAAAGCCCTTCTCGAACATCCTGACATCATCAGGATCAAGGTCGGAGTCAGACTCGTAGTCATCAACCACGACACCTTTTCCCCTCTCTGCGGCTAAAGAAGAAGCTCGATTCAGTCCGGACTACCAAAGCCCGCCCAAAATGGCAACAGCGGTCCCAGGACCCCGGCTTCCCGTCGCAATGGCCTGTTGATCGTTCACAACGGTCGAAGTCTCTACCGTCGGGTTGGCCTCTGCCACCTGGTTTGCCTCTACGGCGGGGTTATCACCACCGCCAATTTCAGACACCGCCAAGGGAAGGTCGCCCCCCGAAGATGCTTCAGCTGAAGGAGCCACTTCAGACTCCACTTGTCGTCTTTTCGACGGACCCTCTCCGCTATCA